AATACACAATAATTAAACATTTATTATGATCTTTTAACAGTCTGATATCGCCACTATTTAAATATATCTGGGTCCTTCGACAATATAAATAAAGTGCAAGTGTTTTTATAGAGTTCGGCAACGTCTCGGTGGATCACGAACTTCTATACCACTTTTAATCTATCTGTCACAACATATTTTTGGCCATTCGAATCGAATGGTCAAATAGTGAACAATATAATATTATATGGGGACTTCCAGGTCTATAGTAATATATAATAAATGAGTAATAAATTTTATATTTATATTATACCATTATCAAGCTTATAGAAATTTTATGAATATACAAACAATATTTTCTTCACACCTTTATTCTAGATTTTTTTCTATTTTCCGGAAAAATGGTTATTAATAAACTAATAGCGCGGTCGGTCTATATGACCGGTGGAAAATATAGTTATATGGAGACTTCTAAGTCTATAGTAAATATATAATAATGAGTAAATATATTTTTCTATTTGGGAAATAATAAAAGGAGAGATTGCTCCATTGCAGTTTGATAGATCATTGTTCTGGAACTGATGAATCCTTTTTCACGGATTTTGATAAGTAAATAGTATAAATCAAATTTCATTATTCTTACAGTCTATAACAGTAAGCCGTGCTTGTCGTAAGTTTCAAAATAATAGCCCAATAGAAATTGGGAGAGAGCAGCAAACCTATTCCGAAATCTATTAGATTTTGAATTGGTACATATGATAAAAAGCATAAGAAGTATAAAAGTTGTATGTTACATCTTTAGGTGTTTTTCAATATTTTGGACCTAGCTGGATAAATGCATACATTTTATATAAAGAATCGACAAGTAAAAACATTTACAGGAAGGTATTTTTGTTCCAATTAGTTTCTGAACTTGGCGATGCATAAACGAAATCTCAATAAATCTAAGTTTTTCATCAACAACGTTAATAATAGTAGAAGAGCCAGTGAACTATTTTCCCAAATAGTTCACTGGCTCTTAGACTATAAGTTCAGATTTGGACGTACGAAAAACTTGTTAAATAAAATTTTTAAAAAGTTATAAAACAACCAATATTTTTATATAATCTTTTCATACATTATATAAAAATAAATTCCAACGAAACTTTCTGAAAATTTCTCTTCATTATATAAACATTACGCAACACATCAATAATCGGAATTTAATAATAAAATACCTAACTTTTTAATTACCGGTCAATTGACCACGTGAGGTAGGAATAGGTATACAAAATTGTCTGTAGGTTTAGTGTTAAAATCGAAAGGGATTGCAGTACTGACTCTCAATGTCTCAATTCAATTGCATATTGAAATTTCAAATACTATAAATTTACTCTATATTCCATTACCTAATCCGATGTCGCTAAGCGCTATTTACTCAAATTGTGTATTTGCTGTTTTCGTGACACCACCATTCAACCGTAAGTCGTGAAACTGATCTTTCGAAAATAGAAAACGTAGCGTTCCGTCCTTGACCGCCGATGGTACTCCGAAGATTATGTCTGGTCAGTTCCACAAATGCGATAATCACAGCACGCACAAACGTTTTATATGCATAGCTAAAAAAAGTGTTGCTAGATAAAACCTAAATGGTTATCACGCATTTGAGTTTGAGTAATTAATGTAATAGATCTTTTAATGCAATCAACTAAACCTTGTTAGTTGATTTTTTCATATTTCTAATTTTTTGAATAGGGAGAAATTACGAATATCTATTCAATATTGAATTAAAATGATGTGGCATAAATGGATGAATGATGATGTGAGTGTTGTATTGGAAATATAACATTTAACTCATTAAAGTTACGGTTAAGTTTATGAAAATATTGCATTTTACCCTTCAATATTAGGGCTAACAAATAATATTAATTTAAACGAATACTTACCTTATGCTTTATGTATTGGTGCTTTATAATCATATAGCCGAAATAAAATTGTAAAATTTCGGGCAGTTCTAAATCATATGAGATATGTATGATAGTTACGTATACAATAATTAATAAGAAAATAGTTTTACTCAAATTATTTTGAACATTTTAGCTAAAAGTTTAAAACTCGCATTGCGCGTATCCTAATATCTTGCAATGGTTATATTGATTTTCACTTGCAATATGGATGAAATATGTTTTCAAATGAAAATAGTTTTTCATTTGTAAATTGTAAAATTTCGGGCACTGCTGTGCAAATAAAATGTATGAATCAGCATAAATTCGAATGCAGTACATCCAATAGAACAAAATTTCCGCACTGAACTTTCTTTATAGAATTGCTATTTAATTTATAATTAGCAGACTGACCTACCTTCAGAAATTGTATCCATTAATAAAATTAAAATATGGTTCTTTCAATTCTTGTCTGAACAAATTGATATTGAGCAGTTCTGATATCAATTCTCACTTGAAAGTAGATTTTTGAATATTATATAATATAATTACAATTATATATATTATAAATTACTATTAGAAGAGACTGGACAACCAGTTGGTTTCCTTTTAATAATGTCAGGTTGTAAAGAACTCATCAATTCATGGAACCTATCAGAATTTTCATTTATTGTTAGTATTTAATTTTTACTGCGATTAGATCTTCAGAGTTTTCTAAGCTGTTGTGATTATTTGACTTAACTAACTACGTCAGTTTTTATAAATGACCGCCCAAACATTGTCCTATCTCTATTTGGTAAACTTTATTATTATAACTTCCATAATGCTGATGATTTTTTTGATGGAGCGACGCCTGGTAAGAGCAGTATTCGTTTGGAAACACATTGCTATCTATATTTCCAAACTGATGTCGCTACTGGTTGACATCAGACTGCCCGGGGAAGTCTGCTTGATATCGAACTTGGGACTTTTTATTGAAATTCCATGAGGGAGTATAATAATAGTTTTGATTGTTTTTCATAAATTTTGAAAAAAATGTAAATAATCATGACCCTTTACCTGTAAATTATTCAAATCATACATATAAGCATAATCGTTGACATATTTTTCTATAATTTAAAAAAATCATCTATTTATAGATAATCATTATATTAAAATGTGATATATAAACATTATTATGAAATATTTGGTATTACGCTTCTTTTCTGCTCATAGATACAATCTATTTTTTAAGAGAAGGAGGTAAACATTGTCTAGACTTGAGTGATTAGCCAACCAAAACATAGATAGTTGTTAATTCGTATAATAAACATGACAAGAAAATAAGCGTTTTGTTAAATCGTCATTAAATTATAGTAAACACATTTATTTATATGGCATAATGACGATCAGGCATCTTATATTGACACATATGTTTTGCATTATCAACTCATGATCAAATTTTAGGTTAAAGAAAATATTTTAGAATGAAGATAAAATAAGAAATGTGTGATGTTTTTATCAATTCAGATATTTCTGTTT